CTTTGAAGCTCTGCAATTGGTCCTTATTTCTTAGTCATCTATGTTTTCATAGGCTACAATTTCAGGCCAAGGTTTTATACATGCCCTCTTCCTGGTCCTCCCTCTGTGTCCTTGTCTGTCATCTTCCAAATTTTGAAGACCCCTGTAATTACATTGAGCTTATAGCAAATAATTTAGAATAATCTTAGTTTAAGTTGCGACCCAAATTTCTTCTGCTGCTTAATTTACCACTACCTTATAATTTTACATAAACACAGAATCAGGGTTTATGCTGAGTGATATTTTCAGGGGTACTATTCTTCCAATAACACTATCCTAGGGCTTGGCAGTCAGACACATTCAATGATGATCTAGAAGTAATTAGAATTCTACAAAGGAAGCAATGCTCCTTTCAGATTTCAGGGTAAGGGGCTGTCAGTCTCCTGGTGTCTCTTGATCTTGAGGGTTTGTGATAAACTTGTTCAATAGGGGATGTAGAAAAGTTCTGGTGGAAAGACAAGAGCATGCAGAGAACATTCTTGGCTGCCAGTGTGTTTATTGGAGCAAATCATGGAACTAATTTGGGCTTGAGTTCTGACTCTGTGATCACTGGAGAGACTTGGATGTGACCTCTGCATATTCTTTATGTCTTCATTTTATTTATTTTAATTTAACATTTTTGTATCTTCATTTTAGTTGCTCCTTGAGATATGGAAAAATAAATCTCAGAATCATTGAGTACAGAGATAGCTTAGTGGATAAAGAATTTGCCTCTGGAGTGTGAGGACCTGAGATTGGGTCCCCAGAACCCGTGTAAAGCTAGATTCAGTTCATGCATCTGTAATCTCAGCATGCCTCGATTAAGATGGGAGATGAAAACAGGAGAACCTGGAAGCTCACACGCCAAGTAAATTTGTATACACAACGGTGAAAAATAAGAGACCCTGTTTCAAACAAGGTGAGAGATGAGAACTGACACCCAGGGTTGTCCTGTGACCCCCACAGTTCACTCACTCACACACAGACAACAGAGACATCATACAAACATAAAAAGCAGCCTCCTGATGAATAGAGTACAATGCAAAATTACAAAAAATCGAATAAAATAAGTATTTATCTGCAATCATTAAGCTTTTAAAATGTTACATGTGTATTATATTTGGTTGTCAGGAAGGAGTATGGAAATTTTAGTGCCATCTATTGGTACAGATTTTAAAATAAGGGTTATCACAGCCAGCTAATGAGTCTGTATAGTATATAGATTCCTGAGAGTTTGTGTTCACTACAAAGAGAGTTTAAAAATGCATTTTGTGCTTTTCTTCTCCAAAGCAATTTTGGTCTTTTATGTTATTATTATTACACTGATGGATTGTAGAAATCTTGTTTGATTTCAGGTCTCTATAAAGATTGGGCATGCAAGGGGGATATATGGGTGTCATATGAAATGTGGCTGAAGTTCAGAGAAATAGGTTTCATTTAATAGCTGAAGACTGGATGGCTCCCTCTCCCCCCTCCACCCCGCCCTCTGGCGACTCACCCCTGAGCAATGGAAGTGCTGGCTGCATGAATCGAGGAGAGGCTGCTGGCCTCAATGTGATTTTCCAGTGATCTGTGTGCTCTATGGCTTCCTTCATAACCAACAAATCAATTCCCACTCTACGTATTACACACCCCAGTGGAAGATGCCATTTATTATCCTTTTGATGGTCAGACTCTTTGTACATAACCAAGAAAGATTACAGAAGAAGGGCAGACTGGTAGAAATGCAGATGGAATACTCCACAAGGACATGGCATCTTGTAACATGCATTGCATGTTCACAAGCCCAACAAAGGAGCCCTGGCAAAGCAATTGTAAAACATGGAAGCTGGGATGTGTTGAATGAAATTCGTTTTGAATGTTATCTATAGAGACAGTTGTGGGTGTAATTCTATATAACTGTGCATTGAGATTCAGGTCCAAACCCAAAATGATTATAAGGCAAGAGCTGCTGTATATTGTAATAGGAACATCAGTTATAATACTAGGCCTCACTAGCTTCTCTAACTAATAAAATGTAATTCCTTATTTTATTGAGAATCACCTAGCACCACCAATTCTTTTGCTAAAGCCAAATTTCAAGGCTTATAAAATTTTAAGCACCAGATGATTAACTTTTTCTAAATACTTTGAATCCACGTGCATGGTTACCATCATTAAATGAATGAAGACTAATACAGATTTCTATTAATTCAGAACAAATGATTGAGTATTTTGAATGACATATGAATGCATCTGATGTAACCTTGGTGTTATTTCTTTTCTAAATCAAATGTCTGACAAGCAAAGATTTGTTTCTAGGTGTGAGCAGAAATACTTAATTCATGAAACTAACTGGGAGTGTGGCTTTGGGGCAGTTTCTGTGCACAAGGACTCAAACTGCTTAGTCATTTATGTCAATGGATGTGAAAAGAACAATGGAGTTTCTGTGCACAAGCACTCAAACTGCTTAGTCATTTATGTCAATGGATGTGAAAAGAACAATGGAAATTTCCACTCATCAAATAAGCTTCCATCTTTTCTGTTTTGCACCAGTTGAGGCTTTCTAGCTTTCTGCAAATAACATCATGTGAAGCCTGCATCTGATTTCTTCTCCCTTTGAAGAGGTGAAATGGTGATGGTGTAATTAACAGAAGAGATCATGTGTAGGATATTTTTGCTTGAGTGGTATAGAAAAGTCTGGGTTTCATTTCACATGATGGAAAGACTATTCTGTGTTTCTCTCATAAGAGATATCAACCCAGACAATATCTCTGTCTGTGAAAGCTCCTAGTGCTCTCTCTCTCTCTCTCTCTCTCTCTCTCTCTCTCTCTCTCTCTCTCTCTTGTGTGTGTGTGTGTGTGTGTGTGTGTGTGTGTGTGTGAGAGACATGAACTTTGACTGCAAAAGCTCCAAGAGCATTTTTTAAAATTTTGATATAGAAATGCTTGACTTGGAGGGTGGGTACCTAGGGGCTTAGATTTGCCTAACCCTCTGAGCTATTCATATAAAACAAGTACAGTTATAGTATTTAAAACATAAGTCAATATTTGGAATTTCAAAATACTAATTGGATTCAAGTGTTCTGAAGTTAGCCAGGCATAAAGCTTGGTGTGCAGACACAAAGTTGCTGGTGACTATCATCCAAATTGTTGAAGTTGTAAGGAACAAGGTGAGCCTGTCCTTGCCTTTCACTCTAAACACACAGGGCTGGAGTGCAGATGTGTGCACATATGTGGATGGAGTTTATGATCAATCATGGCACCCACCTCTGATACACACACACACACACACACACACACACACACACACACACACACACACACACACACACACACACACACACACACACACACACATGTATGCTCTGTTTCTTATTTCACTGTTATTTGTTTGTGTGATTGAAAAGCATGCTGAGTACAAAAGTGGGTGACGGTCCACTTCCCTATGGCAAAACTCTCAGGGAAATGTAAGTTTCAACTTGAGTACCTTGTTAGCCTGTGAAGACCAAGAGGCCACAGCTATGTCCCTCCTTGTTATTCTGTTGTCAGACTCATGTTTCCATGGCTTATCTTTTCTTCCCATGGCATGATTGTCTTTGTGTTTGACAGTTTTCAGACAGCAGAGAGCTATTTATTAAGTAAAGTCTTTTGAGTGTATCCATGGAGTCTACAGTTCTCTGTTAAATAATAAATTCTTTATTTGGATTCTTATTTGTGTATCTTAGTGCTATATGAGTAACTCCCTTCAGTTTCAAATAGTTCATTTTACCTATTTGAAACAGTTCGTTTTAAACAACAGATACACCTAATTTTTATTACATTTGATTTGTTGTTGGTGGTGATGGTGGTAGTGGTGGTGGTGGTGGTGGTGGTGGTGTGTGTGTGTGTGTGTGTGTGTGTGCACATGTATGTACAGTGGTAGTCAAAGGACAACTTTTGGAAATTGACTTGTCTTCTACCATGCAGGTCCCAGGGATCAAACTCAGGCTCACAGCCTTACTAACAAACTCCCTTACCCACTGGGCCATCTCACTATTTCCAATAAGCAATCCAACTTAAGAATGCATGCTATTGTGGGCAGGTGAGATAAGAGGAAATATACTTTAGATTTACAATCTTCCCAGAAAAATTAAATTTACTATTTGTAGTCGTTCCATCCCACGTTTCATAACACAAGCATGTAGCTCAGTGATGTGTATATTTACATTGTTAGACATCTGATCTCAGGAATGTTTCATCTTGCAAAGTCTAACCCACAGCGAGAAGGATTGTCCTTCCAGACACCCACCACTCAACATTTGCTTCCTGCAGTAGAAAGTCATGGAGTAAAATCCTGTAGGCTCTGTCCTTTTGTGACTGGGTTATTTCACTTTAACTGTCCTCAAGGCTCATTCATATTGTAGCAAGTGTCAGAGTTCCCTTATTTATTTTATGGTAGACAATACTTTATTGTGTGTTATCAGATCTGTTCCCTTTATTCATTCATCAGTGGGCATTTGTGTTGCTTCCATGTCTCAGCTGCTGAAGATGTTGCTGCCATGAGCAAGGTGTGGCTATCACTTCTCTGCTCTGTTTTCAACTCCTTTGGGTATGGATTTGTAATTGGGATTGGCGGGCCAAATGGTAGTTACAGTTTTTCAAATTTTGCTGTGATATATGCCATACTGTTTTCCATGGCAGTTTATTTTTTCATGTTACAGTTAGGACTCAAGAATTCTAATACCAATGCTTGGGATTTTCCTGTCATGGTGGTGTTGTTCTTGTTGCTTTTAAAAGGCCATGTGAGGAGGATGGATTCGTATCTCATCATTTTTATTTACTTTGCCCTAACTCACTTTTAACCATTTTGTCTTCAGTCATCCATTTTAATGAAAAGGACCATAAATGTGCTTGACTTCCAAATGTCTAGGAATATTTTTGTCCAGTTGTGTTCACCACCAGAGTACTTCCCTTTGGGCATAGGGCACACCCAGCATTTACCTGTGATTTCTTTGTTTGCAGCTGCTCTCCCATTGCAGATGGCTGTGGTTATGGAGAGGTAGCCAAGCACCTCCACTTTGCATCTGTGTCCTTGTTTTCAGAACTTGAGTTAGCTCAATGGCAGAGCCAAGGCTTCTGGTACCTCCTTCTGCTGATGGCTTGTCTCTGGTTCCTGAGGCTCTACCTGCATTACCTGGGCCAGTGGCTTTTCCTCTGGGTGCTTTCAACTCCAGTTACAAAGTAAGTGCTTTCCCCTGCAAGTCAAAGGGATGAATTTTCATCTTTCTAGGGCAAATCAAAATACAAAACACCTTTCCTCATTCAGTTCACTTATTGGAAGACCTCAAAGGGAGGCCTGATTTGAAGAGACAAAAGAAGTCTTTACCTGAGATCAGGGGCTTTTATTATAGTTATTGTCTCAGGCTGTGGTTGGCTCCATATATACAAATACTTAACTGGTGCATCAATATTTATTTAAAATTCAGCACATTCAAATATGTCCTGATATCTGAGCAAGACTCAAGAAAGAATTTGGCAATGGTGTTTTTGTTCTATTTTGATTTTATAAGAGTGACGAAGGCTGGAGGTATTCCAGGAGTAATGTTAGTCTGATTTATTACCATACTCAGCAAAGGAAAGCTTGCTTCTTCTACAAAATGATTGAATTCAAACAATTACCAAACTCAAGCCCAGACAGCTTTCTAGGCCATTACCCTGTGGGGGGAAATTATATTGTAAAGGTTGTCTGCCTGTAAACATAGACACTCTAGATAGACAGACAGATAACAACACAAGTCAAATTCATTTTTCCAATGTGTCGATGGTACAGATAGAAACAGACACATGTGTGTAGTTTCCATTAAGATGATTATGAAGGATTTTAAGACTGTGAAAAGAAATGCTTATGTGTTCATATGCACACCATTTTTGATTCTCTTGTGACGTGAAGTAAGATTTGGATATTTCTGTGTGTCACATAACTACATTTTCATGAAGGAATTCTTGCATTGCTATTTTCATTCATTCTGTCTGTATCTATCCATCCATCCATCTATATCATATATGTATATATTTCCTTAGTTTCCAAAGTAAAAAATACAAATATTCTAGCCTGAGCTAATTACTTTTTATAAGTCACACTTTTACTCTTCATTGGGAGAGAAAGTCTTACCTTTGTTAGTTGTTAATCCAACAAGACAGAAAAAAAAATACTGTGACAGCTAATTTTGGTCAATTTCTTAAACAGAGTACTTGAACTACTATATCATTTGGGGGCCTATTATCTAGATCCATAGTCCTGACTCACACAGTAGCTTCAGGCCATATCTCAGCCATGAGCTATAGCAATAACAATACCAATGATGAGCACTTATTTTGCCCTCACTGTGTCAGGTCCTATACTAAGAAACCTACATTGTTCTATTTCATACCCATGCCAACACAAGAATGAACCTCCTCTGAAGAAATAATAAAGGAACAGATAAAATGAAGACTTCTCTTCAATGGAGTACTCATGATTCTGACACAGCTTTACATGGGCTAAATTGGAGAGAGATCTCCGCATGAACACAATTCTCATGTTGCAGGAAAATATGATGTCAAAGCCACACTGCAGGCAGCCCCTGTTACTGGCTTGAACTAGATTTAACCCACAGGGCTTCGGCTTGTCCCATTAACCCCTTGCTATGAAATTTCAGTTGTTAGTGATGACTATTCTTTTGATTTTGGAACTTGGCGTCATGCCAGGAAAACCATAAGCAAAATCAATAAGCATCACCCGAATTCTGAAGTATTATTAGATTTATGTCTATGTCTCATTTTTACAAGGCATTGAGTCATTAGAAAGTTCACTAGTATATTTGTATTTAAAATTGGCCCACTAATATGTCCTCTGTACCACAGAGAAGTTCCTGATTTACAGCTGGCTCTACTGATTGGCCCAAATGACATGCTCAATGTGCTAATTAAGAATAATGAACAAGATAACTTTCATTTCCTTGATTGTAACCTGTGCTTGTGGGCAAGAAAGGCCAGACTTCTCACACTCAATTTAAGGTGCTATTTTGGGTCAAGTATTTTGTATCTCTAATAAAGAAAGCATAGCATGTGGATAGATCGATTGCTTTGCAAACTGACCTTTGCCATATTCTTGCTGAGTGCCTGTGCTTTACCTCCTCAACAGATTCCAGTTTTATTCCTACACTGTTGAGCTCTGCTACTCTACTTCTTCACTTCACATTGGAGAAGAGCTGGCTGTGATTGCATTGGGGCCCTTAGCTCTGAACACAATAACATTCCCCTTGCTTCTGATCAGATGGGGCTGTCAGCTCCTGTTCTCCTCCCGCCCAGATGCCTTGTCAAAGCTAATCATCACGATGGGACTATGGACAGTTCTAGACCCATTGGCGGTGTTTATAGTGGATACTTTCCTGGGGGTAAGTCAAGTAAAATAACCAAGATATGAATCCCTGGCACACAGTTCAGCACAGTGCATGACTCGGTTGACATGGGCTGTTTCAATAATGATGTCATCCAGGATTCATCCTGAATTGAAGTTATTAAGCCTTTCCTCATAAGAAAGAAAAAGAATGGTCTTATAAAATTGATTCAAATGTAATTTTAACCATTGCAAATACATTAAAGATAAGTAGGGAAATACCTTGAAAATAAAATGTAAACTAGCGGTCACATTTTCAAAATTACTTCAAAAGTTATGTTTTTACAGAAAAATAAAACTTTTTATAGCTTAAAAAAAACTAAAGATTTTCCCAGGCAAACTTCCCAGAAGATAACTTTTACAGTAGATCATTCAGCGTGACTGGCTGCCCACCTGCTTTCTGCTGGGACAGTCTTATATAATAAATATAAAGCCGAGAGATAAGAGCTGCTGGAATATTTTTAAGTCATAACTTTTCAAAAGTCACCTCCCAGGCATTTCTTTCAACTTTTGTGATGCTTGCAAAGTGAAACACACTTTTCACCTTAAAAAATACAGCCTTAGCATTCTGAATGATTCCCAGTGACGTGCCAAAGTACATGATGCTGCATAGACAGACAGACATAGAATAGACAGGATTCCAATACTAGGAAATGATTCTGTGCTTTTAATCATCATTATACAATTTCTTTGTTGTGTATGTGGGAGCTGATTTAGAGGGATAAGTAGTGTCTCCATTTTTTTCAGGAGGAAAAAATAGTTATATAGAGCTCTAGTGCTTATTGAAGCTGACACATGCTGCTCACGCTGTAGTTACAGCTAGGACTCAGATTTCTGAAATCTGAGGCTAGGATTTCTCCTTAAAACAGTGAGTGAGTCCATATTTTGCTCTATGAAATTAAAGGTGTGCACTTTTTGATGATAATTATTCAGTGCAAACAAACTACTGAATTTGTGGATGGATATGACTATAATTTGATACCAAATTGATTATTGTGAATTTATTTGCCACATCCAAATCTCTGGCTGCTTTGGGTTGGTCAAGTATGCAATTTCCTAATCTATGCTACCGAATGTTTTTCCAGCACTGGGCATCAAACCCAAGGTTGTGCTCATAGTAGGCAAACACTCCACTACTGAATTATATCATCAGTGTCTGAAGTAGGTAATTCTTAATCTTGATTTTGTATCAGAACCTATTCCAGGTCTTGGTAAAACAAAGCTTTCTAGACTCTGCCTCATAGCTCCTTCATCAATGGGTATGCGTGGAGCACAGATTTGTGTTTATACCAAGTTCCCACATGATGTGGACCCAGTTTAAGAATCTGAAATCATAGGCACACAGGTGGCTCTGAGGAGCATACTGGGAGAAGCCAGGAACATTAATGTCACTTAGAAGACAGCATACAGGTTGTTAAATGGAACATCTTTCCTTTTTCTGTCCATTATATGTGATTCCAACAAGAGATAAAGACTAGCATCTTTATTGAAGTTTCACTAACATGTTCTAAAGTTTTATATTAGATTATCAAAGCACAATTGCAGATAGTGACTCAAAATGTGATAATTCTAACCAGAACAATATTCAATCTGGAGACAATACAATTTAAACAATTTTAAATTGAAAAGGAGGGAAATAGAAATTATACTTTTTATATGTAGACCTGGTGATAATATAAAACATTAAGTATGGGAAGGTGGCTCTTCTGAATAATTAGATATGACCAAATACTCATTTATAAGATTATATGAAGTCATGCATTGATGCTACACATACCATGGGTACACGGAAAGGGAAGTTTCATAGTTGGCTGTATGGGTTTAGTCTATATCACTGTACTAAACAGATCTTAGTGTGTTGGTGGGCTGTACTGTTAATTATGTCTGAAATTACTTCTCTCAACCACATACTATTAAAACTAAAGTCCAAAGCATAGTTTATGAGGCATTCTTGGGGACATTGTACACCTTGGGTGTCAGAGCAGGCAGCATAGCCTGATCTCCATTTTCTACTTTCCCTGGGCTGTCCTGTGCTATGGAACTGCTTCTCAAGCTTGACTATCTGTGAGTAGCCAGGGTTCTCAATTCAGTGTTCACTATGGCTCCTTAGGAAGGGCCCAAGATTCCATATTATTATGGTCTTATGTTCTATTTCCCTGGACCACCTCTGAAGCAAGATGACACTAGACATATTGTCAAGGGAGCCTTCCCTTCCACTACTGCTTTCTAGGATGAACCTTCATTCCCCTAGAGTTGCTAAGTTCCACCTGACCAATCTGGACTCTTTGAGGCTCTGAGCCCACTGGTATATTTTATATAAGAATTTTGAATACTTAAATGACCTCTGCTAACAAAGGTTAGAACTGGACAGTTGTAGTTGCGAAAAATTACCACTGTGTCAATCATTTAACATTATTAAAATGAACTCCAAAGTGCAGATTAGCCCATGAGTGCTTTCAGGTCATCTTGATGCTATGGACTAAAGCCATGTGTGATTGACATGTACTCAGTCATCTTCTGCTTTCACATGCCAGATGTGACTGCTTTCTGAAAGCTCAGGGCAATTAGCCATATTGGTGATGTGGGGACAGAGGGAGCTATTGGAGTCAGTAGGGTGCTCTCTCGATCATCACTGGTTTCTTTCACTGTGGTGGCTACCCTCATTGTGATTCTGAGTGGACTGAGTTAGATCCAGCTGGATTCTCCTCACATCTTGCTTATGAGTTTCCAAGCAGGCGAGGAAGAGACTGCACTGTGAAGCCTGGTTGAGCAGGAGATGTAAAGACACCATCTGCATTATGGGAAGACCATATTCTGAGGTATCTCACAGTTCCTTCCAAAGGCCTGATTGGCATATCCAGTAGGCACGGTCCGTATGCTGAGCTTACTGCAATGCCACAGGGGAAGTCAATTGAGGAGGATATGCAGCTATCCTTGATGATCCTCAGAACCTTATCAGAAAGAATATCTGCAGCCCTTGGGGAATGCCCTTCCTTATTCTAGTCAGGACCCTTAGGCAGATGAAAAGCCAACCAGTCCACTGTATACAGGGCACTGATGAAAGGAGTGTACATAATTGGCTCTGATGCTCCGGATGAAATCTACAGGACGGCAGCCTCCAGTGTGACCGTCTCAGAATGGCCTTACATGGAAGAAGCTGACATGCATGCTAAGGATGAAGCTAGTGACTGTATTTTTTTTTTTTTTAGTTGCCAAAAAAATTATGTTTATTCTGTCTCCACAAATCAACTCTCCAGCTAGTATCTTTCAGCTTTCACTAGTTTTCATCTACTTTTGCTGCTTTTCCTCATCATGTAAATACCCCCCCCCCAGTAGACCCTATATTCCCACACTGTTTCACCAGGGATTATATTCCCAACTCATACTTTTTGGAGGCCCAATCAAATGATAATGCTCCCTTGGAAACATGGAGTGTTGGAGAAAAATCAGAGTTGAAGTTATGGGGAGCTGTTTTCTGGTCTCCAGTCTGCTATTTATGATCTATGTGATAACAAATAACCTAGTTAAGCACTTAAGCCTTCAATTTACGTGTGAGTTCTATGTCAAGTAGTAGTGCACACCAATAGGGACACCTACTGCATGCATCTCCCTGGACTGTAGGTGAGACAAAGGCGAGAGTAAGTGTGACTGAAGTTGAAGAATTCACATATTTCACAAATGAATAGTGATACAAGGGACATCAAGAGGTGACGATGCTGTGGTGTGTGCACGACACACAATGTAGAGGATACTGTTTCAGACAAGAACTCACAATCCATATGGAGAACCAAACACACCCATGCGGAGGGAAAGATGCCATCATAGTCCGTAGTTTTTTCCTTCACATCATGTAAGTCTTGCTCAGGTGCCACTTCTTTGGCTGTGATATTAAAAAACGCACCTGAGGTGCTGGAGAGGGGGCTCAGAGGTTAAGAGCATGGGCTGCTCTTCCAGAGGTCCTGGATTCAATTCCCAGCAACCACATGGTGGCTTGAAACCATCTGAAATGAGACCTGGTGCCCTCTTCTGGTGTGCAGGCATACATTCAGACAGATCACTGTATATATACTAAATAAACAAATCTTCAAAACAACAACAACAACAACAAACCCAAAAACAAAAACAACCCACAGATCTTGAGTGTTCCCCATTGGCCCACGTTTTGAAAGCATGTTTTCCAGTCTGAGGTGTTATTGGGATGTGATGAAACCAGAGGGAGAAAGTTAGGACATTTGGGGACATGCCTTTGAAGAGGGTAAATGGGACACTGGCTCCTCTCTGACTTTCTCCTGGCCACCATAAGGTCAGCAAGTTTGCTTAGGCATTCACTTGTCATGATATGCTTCCTCCTCTCAGTCCTCAAAGCAGTGGAGCCTGCTGACTCTGGCTATCATGGGTATTTTGGAACAGTGACAGCAGGCTATTGTATCAGTGTTTCCTCACTGTATGTTATTTAAACTTCTATTTTGCAGTTTTCTAATTGTTCTGCGGTGCCAAGGAATGAACCATGTCTTGAGCAAGTCTTGCTGAGTTACATGCTAGCCACCTTGTGCCTTTTTAGTTTTGAGATGGGGATGTTATGGACTGGTCCAGATGGTCTTTGAGCTTCCTTTGTAATGTGCTCATGCTTTGAACTGGCCATGCCAGTAGCTGGGATGCAGACCTGCAACACACGCTTGCCTGTGCTATTTTGCATTGCATTTATGCTTACTATTGCTCCCACACACTTAAAAGAGAAGCCCAAGTGGCTAATGTCTTTACCTTTATTTTCTCTTATTGGAGTAGAAGGGCAACTTGTAGGCCCTCAATAGGTGAGAATCAAATAATAATTTGGCACCTACCATTTCAATTATGTTATTGGATTCAAACATATAATGTCTCACGGTTGTTTCATCAATGAATCCTTTTTTTCTATTTCTTTGTCATTAAGCAAGTAGACAGAGATCTGGGGAGGGGTTATGCTTGAAAGTCCTCACCATTCTGCCGCTCTGAGTGCTACAAGTGAGTCCACCCTTTACCAGGTAGAATGATTAATAAACAGTATAAAACAAAAGCTTTCCCTTGGTGAAGAAGCAGGGAGTTGATAGTTGGCCTTTCTGAATTCTAGTCATTGCCCAATTACCAAAAGATATTTTGGTGCAAGTAAAATACAGATTAACCTGCCTACTCTTCTGTTCCCTTCTCACACATGTGATTTGGATTAGCTACTTTTAAAAGTGCCTTTTAAAACTCTGTTTACATTATTGCCAGTTTAAACACTAAAGGAATAGTTCTCTCTTAGCTTAAAGAAAAGATCCCCACTTTAGAGTGATGGTCATTTTCATTCACTGGATATCAAAGGAATCTCAGCTAAGGGATATTTATGATCTGTACAATTCAGAGGTCAGTGATGTCACATAATGACACCATAGGTTCTCTGCGATACAGATTTGTCTTTAAAGACCTCATTACTTTGCACTCAGTTATAATCCAGTATAGACTATGTGTTTCCTCCTCTCAAGTCAGGGTGTGTTTTTAAATTAACCTAATGTAAACTTTAGTTTTCAAGCTCACATTAAATAGCCTGATAACTTTTTTATAAGTTTCTAAAATAAGCCATCCCTTTTATACATAGCACAAATTAAATTCCTATCAAAGCTGCTTCAGAAATAAAGGAATCTCTCCACCATCACATTTAATTTCTTTATATCTTGTGCTCATTAAATTCACGAGTTAATAGCACATAAATAAAACATGCCTTTTGCTTCATGAGTTGCACGACGAGTGCATGCACATTCAAGCCTTAGAAGGGAAAATGAGAAAAATCTGCTAAACCAAGCACGCAAAACCCAGCCTCTTTCCTCTTTTCTTTGTGCAATTTTCAGTCCTTACAAGATTTAATTTAGAAACAAATTATGGTACTGTAGAGTTTCATGTCTTTAAATTAATCTGACACGATGATGTCTCCCATCCTTATTTCCATCTCTGCTTCCTTTCCTCAGCGGCTTGCACATAATGGGGAGACTCCTATTGCAGATGCAGCTAAACTCTACTGGATGTTTGTGAGAACCAAACACTCAGCCATCCTTGGTGTCGTGATCACAGTGGTGCTTTACACTCTGCTGTTTGTCATCTCTTCCTTGATTTTGTATGTGTATTGCCTCAGGTAAGATGCTCCCACTGCTATGCTTTTCAGCCTTATGTTCCTGAAGTTGAGGTGTGAAAGAAGGGAGGGAGGGAGGGGAAAGGAAGGGAAGGGAAGGGAAGGGAAGGGAAGGGAAGGGAAGGGAAGGTGAAGTGATTAGAACCATCTAACTGTTCATACAGAAATTCCCGTGGTTTTGTACAATTCTTTTCATGCAAAACAGCAAAACAAAAACAAAAACAAAAACACATGACCTTTGGGAGAAAAGATTTCATTCTGCTGTGGGTCATTGTTCTTGTTTTTCCAGATAATGGGCTAACAAAAGCCCAGAGTAATCCCTTGACATACAATGACATTCTAAAAAATCTCTAGGAAAGTCACTGGCAATTCCTTTTCCCATCCCAGTTTTCTTTCTTTTCTTACTTTCCATGTGCCCAAACATCACCAAGAAAAGAATAATCATCCGACTTTATTCATAAGTATTCAAGTGATTCAAGTGATCTGGTGTTGCCAGCTTGTCAATTAAGAAAGCAAAGTGTGTGTGTGTGTGTGTGTGTGTGTGTGTGTGTGTGTGTGTGTGTGTCTGTCTGTTTGTCTGTCTGTCTGTCTGTCTGTCTGTCTGACTGTAAGCATGTGCACATGTACATGTATGTATTATTAGAAAACACCATAAAACAGTAAATACAAGGAAGACAAAAATGCTGGATTGATTTTTATCTCACCACTCTTTCTCATGCTGTAAAGTTGTTTGCCAGTTGGACCACCTGCTTCAAAGCTTCCTTCAAGGCCATATTAAATGTCTACTGGGCTTGTGACATCAGTTCAAATCCATGAATTTATTGCCATGATCAATGTCCTGAAGTTATCACTTTGGGTAGATTCAGTAGATTCATTGTAAAGATGTCCATTTTGCATGGATATTTGTGATTGGTGTAAAATGTAGGTCCATTTCCCTCCTTTGCTCTTGAGTATCAATCCAGCTACTCCAATGTTGCATAATAAAGAGCCAAACTTTCCCTGATGAATTTGTCAGGTAGTGTGCAAATCAGCTAAGTAGTTATCACCGGAACCTCTATTCGACTGTAGTGACCTGGGCCTGTCTTTATACTGATGCTCTAGAAGCTACTGCAGCTTCGTCATATAGCCCATCAGTATCTCTTATGGATATAAATCCAAACAATTGAAATCATTAGTACACCATTCAAACTAAGATGTGGAAACCATCTAGATATCTATCAGTAGAGAAATAAATGATGAAAAATATAGACAATGAAATATTGCAGCCACAAAAATGAACAAAATACTGCAATGTTCATTAATGTGCATAAGACTTGAGGACTTTGTGCTAAGTAAAAAAAAAAAAAACAAGTCAGTCACAATAAAACAAGCAAAAAAAACAAAAATAAAAACAAAAACAAAAAACAAATATCTCACAATTCTACTGAGAGGAGGTGTCTAAAACAATCAAAGCCAGAGAATCAGAGGAGAGTGGCGATGTTCAGAGACTTATGGAAGGGAAAACAAATAATTGCCATTTAACAGGTAAGAGTATTTCAAATGATAAAGTTGTAGAAATATGTCATACAACAATGTGTGTACAATTTAAGACAAGGTATTGTGCAATGCAAAGGTAGATCTCATATTAAATATTCTTACCAAAGAGTTTATAAAAATGAAGTAAAAAAATCAAAATGCTAATTTTTGGATTAGAGTGTTTACCAAACCAATGCAAGTCTGAAGATGCTGTATTAGCTAAAGACTTCAGTGGTAGACTAGGGTAATCTTTGATACTTCAATGTGATTTGGCCAGAAGAAAGACAAAGGCATGCATAATTTAAGGCAAAAAGAAGAGATAAGGGTCACATAGTTTGGAGGAATTATGAAACATGTTTGTAGAGTCAAAATGTTGCAGCATGGCCAGAGTTGGATGAGCTTAGGTTGGAAATGTCACAGCTCATGTGGTTAGAGGCATTATCTTCTTTTTTCTTTCTTTCTTTTTGTCAGTGCTACAGAGTTTGGATTCTTCTCTGGAAAAAAAAAAAGAAGTAGTGAAGGATTTCGTTTTAGAAAGATCATTCCACTTGCAGAAAGGGGGAAGGACTTAATAGGAGGCAGATGGGAAGCAAGAAATACTCATTAAAAACCACTGTGATAATCCAAACAACAAATATCCAAACCTTAACCAAAGTGAATGATAGTGGAAAGGAACGTAGAGGTGCACTCAAGAGATAGATAAGGATTAGAATAAAATTTTGGGTCTGATTTGAAAGGAGAGGATAAAAAAGAAGATACTATTTTTCTTAACTTCAGGTTTTAGACAAGCAGATGGGGGTGGCTATAGGAATACATAAGGCATAGATTTTTAACAAACATAATTTTTTTAAGAGAGTTAACAAATGAGTTGAATTTCCATTCAGATTGATATTAATATATGTTTTTAAAGATTTTTATGTCGTGTGTGTGTGTTTGTGTGTGTGTGCTTGTGTGTGTGTAGGTGCCACCAGAAGAATATGTCTGATTGTCTCATCTCATGGAGCTGGAGTTACAGGCCATTGTTAGATATTCGATGTGGGTTCTGGGAACTGAACTCTCTGCAAAAACAGCAATGGTTGCATCATCTCTCCAACCCTAACCTTGAGATATTTTGTTGTTCCCAGTCCTGGCTGTGGATTTGCCTTATTGAAACATTGAGTGTCAGTGCATGAAAAGAAGAACATTGCACTGCAGAGGATACACTCACCACAGACTGAGGAAAAATGGTCAATATTTGCCTACTTTTTGTTATCTTACAAAGCTGTACAAAAATGAAACACAGTTAGAAAAGAAATTATGTGTATATGGATGAATTTAAGTCCCTTTCTATGTGGAAATCAAAGTTACACAGAGAAGAGCATTTTTGTGAAAACCCAAGCAAGGCAGATGATTAAAGTATCTGAAGATACAGGCATAGCACAGGTGCAAACATCTTTGCACTTTGAAGACAGGTGTTGGTTCATGATGTGAAGGGGAGGGAGGTACTGGTGAATTGCTGTTGCATGGAGGATTAGAACAGAGAGCACAGAGTGGTAGAGAGGGTTCTCATATGATAGTCAATGTTTGAGGAATGAAGCTACTGCCTACCTTTTCTTTCAGTGGACTGATCATTCTCTGATGTGACCCTTATGTCCCTAACACAGCTTGGGTAAAAGACCCAATTCTTCAGGGGGAATTGGGTTCTTTTGACCCAGGGCTAGTTTGTGTTTGGACATGTCATAAGTGCTGTATGTCATCTTTTTAGGGCACTTACTTTCCTGGGATCATTCAGCTTACATTTGAGCACCCACATGTAATGTGGCCCCAAGCAAAGTTGTTCACTTGCTAGATAATAAGAGTTCTTCTGATATAACATGGTAAAATACAGCACACAAGCATGGATTTTGTAAGAAGATGCATATGAATAATCACTGTATGATTTAAAATGAGTACAGTTTCCAAAAAGTAAAGAAATAAAAGTATAGGTCATGCAATTTATATGTCTGTGGTTTTAAAAATTACAAGATAGTATTACATATCATTTCTTCTCTCATCAATGAATCTCTTCTCCGTTAAAATGTTCACAGCTACACTCTTCATCTGACATAGATACTTTAATTATCTAGATTACATGAAGTATAAAAAAGTCAGCACAGAATTTATATACCAAATAAATAGAATTTGCTTTGCTATCTAAAACACAAATATTGTCCTATAGAGAAGCAAAGGTCATAGGAAAGGGAGGCTCTATGACAGATGGAAATTGATAAGGGAAAAGAACAAGCTGGATGGATTATGTGTACCTCATCAATAATTAACCTGGAAGAATTCAGCTTAATGAACCTTGGTGCATTTTCTTTTCTTTCTTTTTTTTTTGCAGATTTTTAAAATTTGAATTAGAAACAAGATTGTTTTACATGTCAATCCCAGTTCCCTTCTCCCTCCCCTCCTCCCCTATCAGCCCCCAACTAAAACCTTACCTATCACGTATCCTTTCTGCTCCCCATGGAGGGTGAGGTCTTCCATAGGGAGTCATCAGAGTCTATCATACCCTTTGGGATAGGGCCTAGGCCCACCCCCATGTGTCTTGGCTCAGGGAGTATCCCTCTATGTGGAATGGGCTCCCAAAGTCCACACCTATGCTAGGGATAAGTACTGAACTACTACAGGAGGTCCCATAGATTTCCAAGGTCTCCTCACTGAAACCCATGTTCCTGGGGTCTGGATCAGTCCCATGCTGGTATCCCAGTTATCAGTCTGGGGACCAAGAGCTCCCAGTTGTTCAGGTCAGCTGTTTCTGTTCCTGGTCTGGACCCCTTTGCTCATCACTTGTCCTTCTCTGCAACTGGATTCCAGTTCAGTTCAGTGTTAGTTGTGGGTGTCTGGTGCATTTTCTTAATACTACTCTCTATTGGCCTCTGCACCTAAGCTAGTCTGGGTATGCTCAGAAATCCCAAATAGGGTTTTACTTACATTTTAGAAGCCACTGTTGTAGAGTAAATAAGTCAAGCCAGTGCATTAGCTGAACAATCTCTCCTCACACCATTTCAAAATAACTTGCTCTACAATGGCATTGTGCTGGGTAATCCAGTTTCCTGAAGGGAGCACTGCCTACAGCAGACACATGTCATGAGTAAATAGGAGGATTTTTTGTTCTTCTTTTGTTTTTTTTTTCTGACATAGATTTAGTAAAGAGATGCAGAAATCTTAAGAGCTTATCATAGTAAAAATTGCCAGTGAAGATTTCTGCATGCTGACTGATAGGATTGATATCTAGTTAATACACACAGGCAGTGAATTTGTCTTCCTGGGATTTTGGTGCAGGGCTATCAACACAATACTGATAACAGGTGGAATTGTAGAACACAAAGGAGACAGAATCAGTGGTGTTGGCTGTTGACAGGCAATTTGGTTTAGCTCTAGGCATTGGAAGTCCTTCATGGTGGGGATTGGATCCTGATGAGATTGGGTGACTGGCTCTCTTTGCTCCAAGAGTCTGAAGAGTTTGG